CAGCGTCAAAACATACCTAACCAGCATATGCTGGTTTTTTCAACAGGGAATAAAACCCCATCAATGCCCTGAGTAGCCTAAACCACAGACTAGTAGTGGGTTAGCAACTAAACACATGAAAGATAATGACGTTGAGGCTGAAAATTCACATCGAAAGTGTTTTGAAATGCACATTTTTATTACTAAACTATATTTTTATATTCATTAAAATGTTCGGGGTGTTTGCAAAGTGGTTCAGTATCAGTTATTAAGAAGTAAATAGTCAAACAGAAGGAAATAATTTTAGCAATGCTAACGCTAAAGTAAAATAGCTGCCATATTGATAAGGTTTATTGGTGATAGGTGGTTGTTAGGGTATTTGGCTGGTTGTTAGTTCTTTTGCTCTGGTTGCTGTGCTCTCGATCAACGCGTTAGCATTAGCATCACCCAGTGTCCCTGTCTAGCAGGGGTGTGCTTAAAAATCTGCATATTTTCTGAATATCTCAATGCAAATTAGTTCTCCAGAGAGACATCTTGCATCATTGGCTTGTATCAGAGCATAAATAAATCCATTTGCTGATGACTTTGTGTAAACAGACAGTAATAAACGTATTATGTGACAATTAAGTGCTTTTAGCAATGACAAGCTTGATATACTCCACAACTGCAGCGTGAATGCCTCTAATTTGCTACGTCAAAGCATTTCGCAATATATACATGTCTTGTTATTGAGGCTGAATTATCTCTCCTGCAGTCATACACAAAAAATTGTAACATATATATTACAGAATATAATAGTAACGGTGACACTTGCAAAAAAAACGCAAGATCACCTGCGGAAAATTGATATAACCTGAGAAAGGCGTAATGAAAACATTATTAGATTGTTTGAAAAACACTTGAGATGCTCTTCAACTCATCCTTCAAGTATTTATAGAACTTATCGGTAAGTGCTCCCGTCTCAAATCCATTTCATCCCATTTACTCAATTATCTCTTAGTTTGCTGATCTGAAGACCTGGCAGTGATGTACTGCTGAAAGCGCAGAACCACAAAGTGCCTCACTGCAGAAGTGAATCTTCAGGTGACCTTGAAAAAGAGGGATGAGTGGTCAACGTGGACTTGACACAGATGCTCATACACTGCAATACTTGGATCATCTGACCTCTAAAATACTGTTGGTTTGGCCTTTCATGCATCGCTATAAGTGAACCCCATGACTTTTGTTTTGGAGGTCTGGTCTACTTCTACGCTGTAGATAATTGCTGTAAAAACATAATCTTTTACTTAACAATATAGTAAATATTGTACAAATATCATTCGTAGCTGACTGAAAGTTTAATTTGCAGTGTCGGCAAATGTATATTGGACATAAAACATTCGAAAACCTCTCAATAGGATGAAATAATGATGCAAGAACTGTAAATACTGACACTCAAAACTCAAAAGCTGTGAAGAATTGCACAACTGTGTGGGTTAAAAATGGGGGCGGTATCTGAAGGACAAACACAACCGCCTTTCAGTGCAGTGAAAAATCTATTTACTCTCAATTAAAGAAAGAAAAAAAAAGCTCATCCTTGTGTCGTGTTGGTTTGTTTGGCCTTAAAGTTTGCATTTGAAATCTCAGCATAATTCACATTAACCAGGCTGTGAATGACATATGTTCTTGTTCTCCTCATTTCCTTCACTGAGTTGGGCCAAGCCGAATTAAGGTGATGAGAAAGCCACAGTGATCCATCTCTAGCTTTTTTACTTTGACTCCACGATCAGGAGGCCTTGGCCTCTAACACATTCAAATCCCTGGCATATCTTCATGATGCACAAGAGCTTATTTAAACACTTCTTATTTGAGTGAAGCATGCCACAGCTGAACATTAATCTCAATGAGTTATTTTGATGGTGTAACAAATGCATTACAATCCATTAGACTTGTTTAATATGATGTATTTCAAAAGAGTAACTTACATAATTTGCCTATGTAAGAGTGCAGAAATATGAAAAGAGCTACGGTGGAAGTTAGCATGATGGCTAACATTGTTAACAGCACCTTAAAGTCATCTTTGATGGTTCTTCCACCAGATTTAGACCTATGGGGGAAGTTACCATGATAGTTAACGTTGCAAACAAAAGCGTAAAGGCATCTTTTCTGGTTCTTCCACATGATTTAGACCCATGGTGTAAGGGTATGACGTTCCTAAAAAGAACATTATTTTGTGTATTTGGTGTAATGCAATGTGTTTACACGGTTTAAGGTTAAAAAAACACATTATTTTCCACATACTGTACATTATTGTTTCTCCTCTATGCCCTGCCTTTCTGAAACGCGTCGATTTTTATAAAGCTCATCATTCTGAGAAGTGAGGTGTGCTCTGATTGGCCAGCTATCCAGTGCGTTGTGATTGGAATACTTCAAGCATGTGACCGAAATGTTATGCCCCATACCATATTTGGAAACAAACAGTGTCTCCATGACAACAATACTACAGCGAGAATAAAGGTTATGCCTTCTTTCTTTGCGTATACATTTGGGTGGTGTTATGCAAATCTTCCCACACAGTGACATAGATTTGTGGGAGTGTGTTTAAATGAGGCATTTTAGGAAGGCTTGGACGAGTGTTAACTTTTAGAGAGAATATATCTTTGGGTTTGAGACTTTAATCTTTACGACTTTACGTATCTTAAATATGCACGAACAGCTTGTAACACTCCAAAGACAAAGGAAAACATGAAATCGCATCATATGACCCCTTTAAATTTAGCATGATGGCTAGCATTGCTAAGAACACCTTAAAGGCATCTTTGCTGTTTCTTCTACCAGATTTAGACCTATGGTGGAAGTTACCATCAGGGCTCCAGACTGTGACAAAAACGGTCGCATTTGCGACCAAAAATATTAGTTTGCGAGTTAAGTTTTTGCTGAGGTCGCCACTGCATTTACATTGAGGAGGAGCCCAAACTACACTCAGTGGCTAAGTGATGCTTATAAGATGCAGCACATGACAGCTGTCGCGTTCGGTGTAGACATGGTGTCTGTGTGTGAGCAAAGAAAATGATCCGTATAAATATAATGATCAGTATACTAAACATCCCACATCCTGCGATGTGACTATCGCGGATGCGCACATCGCGATATTGATGCTGAAACGATATATCATGCAGCCCTAGTTAGCATGAATGGCTAACATTGCTAAGAATTCCTTAAATGTATCTTTGCTGGTTCTTCCACAAGATTTAGACCTATGGTGGAAGTTAGCATAATGGCTAACATTAGTAAGAACACCTTTAATGCATCTTTACTAGTTTTTCCACAAGACTTAAACCTATGGTGGAAGTTACCATAATGGATAACATCACTAACATCACCTTTAAGGCAACTTGCTGGTTCTTCCGTATGATTAAGACAAGTTTTTCATTTGAATTTGTTCAGGGCATTTTCTGGGAGGTAAAAGACAATAACTCACTCATTGCCCCAGTCCAGTCGTACGGTGATGTGGCGTTTGACTTCACGGACTTGATCCTGGGTCAGGTGGCCTGAAAGCAGTTGTCGCCTCAGATCAATCAACTCGTTCATCACGTGACGGAGCTTGTAAAAGAGGTCGACTTTATGCTTCTGTAGAGAAAAAACACAAAAACAAAAGGCAAATATTTATTTTATCCATCCACACATGACAAACGAGCCTCAAATTTGACCAGGCAAATGTACAGTAGTCGTATAATACATACTATAGTGCAAGTAAATGATCATTCTGCAAGTACATTCAGTGCAGATTGCAATACACACTTACTGAGTTTTAGATAATAAATGACACTGTACTACAGAATATCTCTTTCCCCGCCATTGACGAGTTATCTCGTCTTTTAGAAGAAAACGCTTCCCCTCCAAAGACAAAGACAGTTTTTACGGCTTTCCGTGTTTTCACTGTTATACACTCAGGGGCGCTATTACGCATCTTCTGAACGAGTACAAAACCTCCCGAACAAAAACACACGTGAACAGGACGGAGAAACAATGCATATGAAAAATAATGCGATCATCAGCAATAGACAGCATATAAATGAAAACTGCATAATGTTACGCGTATACATTTGGGTGGTGTTATGCAAATCTTCCCACACAGTGACATAGATTTGTGGGAGTGTGTTTAAATGAGGCATTTTAGGAAGGCTTGGACGAGTGTTAACTTTTAGAGAGAATATATCTTTGGGTTTGAGACTTTAATCTTTACGACTTTACGTATCTTAAATATGCACGAACAGCTTGTAACACTCCAAAGACAAAGGAAAACATGAAATCGCATCATATGACCCCTTTAAATTTAGCATGATGGCTAGCATTGCTAAGAACACCTTAAAGGCATCTTTGCTGTTTCTTCTACCAGATTTAGACCTATGGTGGAAGTTACCATCAGGGCTCCAGACTGTGACAAAAACGGTCGCATTTGCGACCAAAAATATTAGTTTGCGAGTTAAGTTTTTGCTGAGGTCGCCACTGCATTTACATTGAGGAGGAGCCCAAACTACACTCAGTGGCTAAGTGATGCTTATAAGATGCAGCACATGACAGCTGTCGCGTTCGGTGTAGACATGGTGTCTGTGTGTGAGCAAAGAAAATGATCCGTATAAATATAATGATCAGTATACTAAACATCCCACATCCTGCGATGTGACTATCGCGGATGCGCACATCGCGATATTGATGCTGAAACGATATATCATGCAGCCCTAGTTAGCATGAATGGCTAACATTGCTAAGAATTCCTTAAATGTATCTTTGCTGGTTCTTCCACAAGATTTAGACCTATGGTGGAAGTTAGCATAATGGCTAACATTAGTAAGAACACCTTTAATGCATCTTTACTAGTTTTTCCACAAGACTTAAACCTATGGTGGAAGTTACCATAATGGATAACATCACTAACATCACCTTTAAGGCAACTTGCTGGTTCTTCCGTATGATTAAGACAAGTTTTTCATTTGAATTTGTTCAGGGCATTTTCTGGGAGGTAAAAGACAATAACTCACTCATTGCCCCAGTCCAGTCGTACGGTGATGTGGCGTTTGACTTCACGGACTTGATCCTGGGTCAGGTGGCCTGAAAGCAGTTGTCGCCTCAGATCAATCAACTCATTCATCACGTGACGGAGCTTGTAAAAGAGGTCGACTTTATGCTTCTGTAGAGAAAAAACCACAAAAACAAAAGGCAAATATTTATTTTATCCATCCACACATGACAAACGAGCCTCAAATTTGACCAGGCAAATGTACAGTAGTCGTATAATACATACTATAGTGCAAGTAAACGATCATTCTGCAAGTACATTCAGTGCAGATTGCAATACACACTTACTGAGTTTTAGATAATAAATGACACTGTACTACAGAATATCTCTTCCCCCGCCATTGACGAGTTATCTCGTCTTTTAGAAGAAAACGCTTCCCCTCCAAAGACAAAGACAGTTTTTACGGCTTTCCGTGTTTTCACTGTTATACACTCAGGGGCGCTATTACGCATCTTCTGAACGAGTACAAAACCTCCCGAACAAAAACACACGTGAACAGGACGGAGAACAATGCATATGAAAAATAATGCGATCATCAGCAATAGACAGCATATAAATGAAAACTGCATAATGTTACAGAGTAAAATGTTGATCCAGGAAGTGGTATATGTCTGTGCAAGCTTTGGAGGTGTTGATGGAAGCGATGTACTGGATTTATGCTTTGATAATCATACTGAATATTATCCAGATGCAGTTTTTGATAAAAATTCGATTTTCTCACCTTTTTGCTCAATTTTATGAAACCTACCCTATATTTGAGTATAGATAAAAAAAGAATGCTTTAAGCTTTTTGTTTAAAAGTAGAGGCTCTGATTTTTATTTTGGTGTATTGCTTGGTGTAATAAAATATCAAATTTGAAGTGAAAATCATTAAAATCGCTGGCGGTGGCTGGCAACTTTTTTCAAAAATGCTGGTGGGGAAAGAGTTAATACTTGAAATTGACTGGCTCCTCAAAGACTGCAAGTATTACCATATACATCCACCATGGCATTTTTATGGTACTTCAAAGTACTCTAAAGAATGGCATGGTATTAGCATGGTACCATGTCCAAAACAAAATTTCCATGTCCAACAATCATCAGATTACAGTACGTCACTTCTCAGATAGTCAATGACCCAATAAATATGAATAAATGCGACTAAAATGGTCTAGTTGCCAAAAACTAGTGCCGACCAATGGCAATAGATGCCTACATTGGTAACACACTGGTCCAACATAACAAACGTCTGTTGCCGCTGGTTGTCATTTGTCAGTGTAGCGTAAATTAGCTTTGAAGTGACAGTCACACTAAAGGCTGATTTATACTTCTGCGTCGGACCTACGCCATAGGCTATGCGTCAGTTTTCATTTATACTTCTGCGTCGTTGTCTGCGTCAATGTGCAGTACACATGCAAACCGCTAGTCTTCAGTTTCCACAGGTATGTTGCTGATGTAACCCGCAGTACCACGGTAAAAGCCGAAGAAGAAGTGGCTCGCCGGAGAAGCATTATAGTCGTGACGGCACCAAATAAATATCAAATCATTAAATCATTATTTAAAACTACAAAAAGGAGACAACAACGGAACAGGAGAAGATGGCATTCTTTCAATCTCCACAAGGACTTGTACCACGGCAGATCAACATTGTTCGTCGCGGACAACTACTGATGCATAATGCTATGTAGTATAATAAATGATAAGACACTTGTTCTTTGCTTTGTTTTATTTTATATAAGAAGGTGTAACATTAAAATATATTAAAGTGCACATAAACACACACAAAACTCAAGTACATACGGAGGTAGGGGTTCTAGCAGGCCAATGACAGCGCTTGTGGTCTGCGTAGAATTGATGCGCTGTTAGATTTTTGGAGAGGTCCATGTCAGGCTACGGCGTATGGGTGTGCGTCTATGCGTAAGCTACGGTGTAGGTTCAACAGAGAAGTATAAATTGGGCTTAACAGCATTCATATTTGAAAATAATTCTCTCAACTCTAATTAACTTTGTTTTACGTGTCACTGAAATAAGTGACTTCAGGTCACTCTGCTTCTACAAAATCACTGTCAGTGTGATTGGCACTTTATGCTGCATTCACATGATGTTGGAATTACAGTACTGTAGGTAATCAAAGCCACAGACAGTCAAAGAAGTGGAACAACCACTGAGCATCATCTAAGCACATGTCCCAAACCGCAAGGCTTCCCCTCAAAGTTTGTGTATGATGGATGATAACGACTCCCTCATGGGCACTTGGGGAGACTTGCAGCAGACAGATCTATGCGTTTGTCACATCGACATGCTGTGCCGGCTGTGCATGTGGTCTCCAGCGCCCTCCATCACCGAAACACCTCAGAACTTGAGTTTGACGTGCTCTTGAAAACAAAGAAGGTTGATGTGGAGTTTACATAAGAATGTTCCCCTGGATACCCACATATGTAGCATCTGTCAGTATGTCATTCCACAGTCTGTTAATGGTGAAATCAGATGGGATTTGGCCATTCAAGTAAAAGCCACATCCATCAAACTCCCTGTTGTATTTACTTGGATTTCTGTACAGGATAGGGATGGAACGATTACCGGTTTCACGATAAATCACGATAAAATGCCCTGACGGTTAGTATTACCATTTAAAATTTAATTATCATCAAAACCGTGTTTGATTATCGCGCTTTTGAAAACTCGCGGTAAATCCTGTCCAGCCAGCATCAGTCTGACGCAGAAGCAGCATGCAATGTTGTTGTTGTTTTTTTTTGCACGAGACGAAATGGCGGAAGGCAGTGACAGCGCTCGGGAGATTTTTCAGCCATTTAAGAGAACCAAATCGGTGGTCTGGTCGTATTTTGGCTTTTACAAGAGTCCTGAAGGCAATTTAATCGAGGACGGTCACCCTGTCTGCTGATCTTGCAAAAAGAAAGTCGCTGCAAAAGGGGGAAACGCATCAAATTTGCTCAGTCATCTTCATGACCACAACCCACTGTTATATAGCGAATGCAAGGTAACTTTTACCTCAATACCAAAACTAACTGGGCAAATAATTGGACAAAAAATATTGATTAGAGATATCATTATCTCACTTGTTTAACGCAAAGCTTCCGTGAAGAAAAGTTGCTTTGAGCCAAGACGAACGAACGTTCAAACTATCAGGTTGACATTTAAGGGATAATGTATTGTATATTCATAGTTAACTTATTACATGGAGGAAACCATATGAAATAAATGTTTCACTCTTGCATAAGATCAAGCAGCTTGTTCAAAATAAACTTTAGCCACTCGTTTCTAATGCTGGAATCCTTCAAAAGAGGAATGGCAGGTGCAACACAGTCAGGAACAGCACATTGTTTGGCAAACTTCACCGCCATATCTTACTCTTATTGTTTAGTCATATGCCACCTGGAATAATAATATAATCGTCTTCTGGTGCACAGGAATTCATCCAACTTCCTCCATAACCAGAAATCTGGGAACAGTCTGTAATCAGAAATTTCATTAGCTTAGTTGCAATGAAGAGTCTGTGCATAGTATGTAAAACACACACACACAAAAAATTAAATAAAAAAAAAAATATTTATATATATATATATACAGGTGCATCTCAATAAAGTAGAATGTCGTGGAAAAGTTTATTTATTACAGTAATGCTATTTAGCTGGAGAGCTTCGATGGAAACTCACATGCAAAGTACCATTTGTGGTCTGTGCTTTAGGGAATGCAGCTGAAGAACACTCAGTGTGTGAGTGTGTGGGAAGAGGAGCTACAGCATGTGTTGCACCGAGCTGTGTGAAGAACATGTATTTATCACACTTTCCACAACTGCATGACTCGCATGCTTTAAATACAGAGACCGGATTGAGCTACAGTACAATGTGTCAGAATCACATTTCACCATGTCCAACTCTCATCTTCTCTTAGGTTCGTATTTGGTGGAACTGTAATATATATATATATATGAATATATATGAATTAATTAACTAATAATGTCTTATTAAAATTTTACGTAATATATATAATTATGTAAAATTCGATAACACATTTTTAACACGCATTAACACAATATTAATTCATTAATTAATATATATTCAACAAAATACACTACACTGCATAAACTGTATGGCTCTCGCCTTCTACTGCAGTCATAGAGAGCAATGCACCTTCAGTGACTTCTAAACATCAGCCTCCACTGAGGATGGCGCCTCAAATAGCATCAACGCGTTTCTCATTAAAGCCCTGTTTGTTTAGGTGGTTAAATGACCCATTATAAACATTAGCTCTCATGAAAACACAAAACTATCACGTTCATCTCTTGTTCTGTGACTTCTGGCTTTTAGTAAGACACTGGGTGGATACAATGGACGCTTCTGAGGAAGAACTAATCACAGGATCAAAGTTTATCAGGTTAGTGGCACTGAATTTTGGCTAGATAGTATTAGAATTAGCACATAGCAGCAGCACATGCAACTAAACACAACATGCTAGTGAGCCTGAAGTAAAGGATGCAGTGGACTAACTGCCATTTTATAGACAGTATTAAAGAAGCTAGTGCTGAAAACAAACACAAATCCAAATTCAACACGTTTGTCTAACAGGAAATGGACATATTATACCAAACATGAATTGTAAACTATAAAAAATCAATTTATTAGCTTCCTGTGTCCTCTATTTGAGACTCTTCAGTCAGTGATAGAGTGTGACTCTGTGACTAAAACTTAGACTATTAGCTAAGGAAATGCTAGCGGGCGTAAAGAGAGAGATTTGCGTATATATATTGCAATGTGGGCAGATCAGCGGAAGACCAAATGACAAAACGAATACAAAATAACAGGATGACCATGTGCATAATGAGCCAACACACTTGAAATATGAGTTTTGTGAGGAAAAATCATCTGAATGCTTCATGGGAAAACTGCCACATTTGAGACTGAAATGCACCATTAAATTCAGGGTTGAAGATTTGAATCATTTAAATCAAGACTTTCTTTTTATTTTTTAATGTTAAATCTTCAGGGTGCGTCAGCAGTTTGAAGTGATTGTTAGCTCTACAGCATCACATTAGCACAGTCAACTAGCGTAAAATGTTCCAAAATAGCTTAAAAACCATATGTGTGGGTATGTTGCGAAGGTAATAGGTAGTT